TTATAGAGCTTTTCAAGTAATGATGCTGGCCATTTAATATGCATTTCCAAAAATGTATATACATATTATCTTTGCACTTCTGCATCCTTAGGAGAACAAAATCATTCAAACATTTAATTTTCTCCACCCAATGTGTAGAGGGTGCACAGCAAAAAGACTCAATTTGCTCACAGAGCTCCCTACCAAGTTTGCTGATGAGTCGTCTCCTGATCCTAGTGGGCATGCATTGCACGAAAGCCCCCAGGCCATACGCTTCTGTAGAGAGTATAACATTATACTGTATCTCCTCCCCTCCCACTGCACACATGCCCTCCAACCGCTTGATGTTGTCATGTTTTCACCACTGAAGAGTGCATGGGCACAAGCAGTACAGGATCACGAGTTTTCTGGTGACCGAGTTATGAAAGAAGTCTGGAATTTGGCCACTAAACTGGGATGTCATTACACCTGAGATGATGCAACCAAGCACCGTGACATTGCTTGATGTGAATTCTGCAGTTCCAATGATGCTTCCCTCACCTGTTAAAAAAGGCATGGAATTCTTCCATGCCATGCATGAGAGGGAGGCAGAATCCCAGCTGTGCAGGCACTCACCAACTCCGGACTTGAACTTTCATGCAACAAGGGAACCATCTCAAGGTGTCAGGGCATACACCCTGACCTAGCCCACACCTGCACTCGCACCCGCATTCACATGCTGAAGGAGCGGAGCTGAATCACCTTATGTAACCAGTTTCCTACATCCAATAACGATATTAGAATTTGTGCTGATTTGCTTACTGACTGTGTTTTGGTTGCCAAATATATAATTTTTCACTGTCTAAACAACAATAAACACCCCCCAACGATCTCACCTGATGTATAGATTGTCTACAGATAAAATTCTATATTGACTTTACTATGATTTCTAGTCAATATTACACCGAGATATACCACTTTTCTGTAGGACGTGATTTTCCTGATAATTTATTGAAAGAAAACTACTAATAAAATAATTCCGCAATAAATATTACTCAATACAGGAGTGACCAAACTGCTCTTTCTATTGCTTAGAGTGCATGCTAGTGTCAGAGTCTGGAATACTGTCAGAGACTGAAATACTGTCGGAATCGGGATTATTGTCAGAGTCAGGCAGACTGTCAGAAGATGGACTGAAGATGGATTGGGTTTCTGTCTGAGTTGGGGTCAGAGATTGTGGCAGAGGTCTGTTGGAGTGCGCATGCGTGGATATGCGGGCAGAAATGTGCAGTGCGTCTGGAAGCGCTGTTCAAGGTTAGCAGAGTGGGATCACAGCCTCAGTGACTCAGGTGGAGCGCTGTGCCCTGAGCTTGACGTTTGGGGGAGATCCTGTATTTACAGATTGACACTTACTTGCAAGCAGAGTGGACCTGTAGGAGGAGCGCAGACTCTGTGAGCATGGACTCAGAAGGGGGGAAGCCCCTTTGCAGAAGGAGGGACTCAGATCAGACAGGGGGGGGGGTACCCCAGTTGATTTCAGACTGAGGTCCCTGAAAGTATTTACAAGGTATAAGTAGGTAAGAGAAATCAAAAGAGGGACCGGTCAGTCTGGTGCGGAAATAAGCGGAAATGAGCAGGGACTTATCAAACTAAACCAAGGATGAGAACCTGGGAAATGGGAGGCAAGGAATGAATAAAGTCAAAGTGGATCAAGTGTCAGGAAAGTGCCAGACACGTATCCGGGTGACCCACAAGGCACGCAAGGTCGTCTGGGCTCGTAAGGTCGGAGGGGCGGGACTTTAGCTTCAGTGACTCAGGTGGAGCGCTGCACTTCGTTCTTATGTTGGTGTCCCAATTTCAGACAGAGGCCTTATGATGAGGATAAGAGTTTAGAGGGGGAATCCAAGTCGATATACGAACTAAGGTACATCCGGTGTAACCTACACACATTATAAACACAAGTAACTAAATAGGACTGGCCTGGAAGGAGTGGCGGATCAAGTGCAATATTAATGAATGAAGAAAGAAACAAATAATTAATATTGGCAAACTTGGTCAACAAAAGGAAAGCAAGAAACAAAAGGAGGAACAATAGTCCGCAAGCGGACAAAAGAGAAAAGGCCATCAGGCCGTCTAGCAAGCCGTCCGGCTGGGGGCGGACAACAATGGAGCGGGCAACCTAGGTTGGAAGGTATGCGCGCGGGGGAGGAAGTGCGGATGAGGGTGACGGGTGGATGGATGGATGGACAGATGATGATGATAGCGGGCGGGATGGGCCAAGTGGCACTAGGACGCATTGACGGAAGTGATGGATATGTTGGGTCGTGACATCAAGTACCAATATTGACAGATTAAATGAATGAATAGGAAAGTGGCAATAGCACACAGATCAAGTGCCAATATTGGCAAGTTAAGTGAATGAAATGGGTGAACATAATAGGCACTCGGCAAGGAATGAATGAATGCTGCTGAGTGGCAAAAGGCCAAAGGAAAAGTGGGGTCGGTGCATGGCACCGACACAAGTCCACAAAATGGGATGCAGGAATCAGCGTGGCGCTGATAAGTCTGCAAGAGAGGGTGGTCCGTCAGTGCTGTCACAAATGAGGACAGCATGATGGCCAGCAAAGGTACAGAGGGGAGTGTTGACCTGACTACAGGGTGTGGAGGTCAACCAGGAGTGGCAGGGGTGCAGAGGGTGCAGAGGTGGGCAGAGGTCCGGAGGTGGAAGATGTGCAGAATATGGAAGATGCAAAATATGCGGAGGATGTGGAGGCAGGGATGTGAGACTGAGTTGTGCTATAGGCCTAGGAGGAACCAGAGGGACTGGATGCCAGGAGCACCAAAGGCTCAGGTTCAGGATCACTCACTTTTCTCCTGTGGTGTGATAACCAAGTATTGCTGAGAGATTATTCAATTAAGAAGTCCCTCCACCAAATTCTCACTAATTCTCACTATGACACTTTTGTTCAGCTGTGTCTAACTGATCCTAACTTATGCTTAGAGTGACGTGTTAGTTGTATATTAGCTAACAACTAATATTTGCTTTTATCTTTTGGAGCAAACAAACCAACCACTGGTGAGGAGAATTAAACTTATATTTCTACCTGAGGTTTGAGAGGGGGCAGAAGCGGCGGCCTTTTATGCTTTTCAGAGGCCTCTCTACTCCCACGCCTCGCACTAGTTACATGTGCTACATTTGTATTATAGATAGTTCTAGAATGATATAGGGGCTTGGGCTGTGTAAGCTTAATAATGGACTTAGGACATGACTCAGCAATAAGTAATTCAGTTCTTTGTCTTTTGAGCCGATCTCAGCGAGGTCTTGCAGCGCTAAAGCTATGCTCTACACCGCCTTAATTACGAACGGTTATCTTTAGAAATGACTCAGCTATAAAGGAACTTTCTAGACTGTTCTCTAATTCACCCCTTTTTGTGAAGCCACATCATTACTAATGTTCTAGAGCTTTCCCAATTAATTAACTGATCCGCGGACTTCTAAATCACTTTATGCTTATGATACGAGATCCAGATCATCAATCATTCCTTTGTTCCAATTTATTTGAGCTTAAAATCAAAAAGTTTTGATGAATCATGGGAAAATATACAAGATCCGGTTCTTTAGCATTTTCTCCTCTTCTGATGCGATCAAAAACTGTCCGTCCGCGCCGGGGGATACTCTGCCATATGGTATTTGGTCCTCCAGACTTCCGGGCGTCAATATATTTCCCTTGAGTCACATTACTTTTTGCAAGAATTAGCAAACAAATATATATGAATTATAAGGTGTTTCGCCGTTTGAGCGATATCTCCGTCAGTTTTGAAACTTTTAGAATGAAACAAAACCGTGGATGAGGTTTAGAAACAGTCCTTTCAGATGGTAAAAAGACTACAGTCAAAGGTTTACTGGTTCCCGAGATATTCACATTTCTTTCCCAATGTTCCTTCTTATTCTGCCATCTATGTGCTATTTTCTTGTTGTAGGGATATATTCTTTGAATATTATATTTTCCTACACCTATGCCAGGTTCTAGGCATGCTTGTAGTAGCTTAAATCTCATGCTACATGGGTGTGGATAATTATAATGATCTTCTAATGTCTGTCCAGTCTCATAAAGATCATGAGATCTGTTAAAACATCTGAACTTGTCACCTGATTGTTGACTATTCTGATAGATCATTGTTTTATTCTTTGAATATTATTTCTCCTACAACGCACACCTGGCCGTTGCACCCCTGCACATGCCCTGTGCCAGATGCTCTGTGTGGCTGGATGCCCCAGGCCAGTCTTGGGCCTCATGTGACTTCTGGATATCTCTGGAAGTTTTCGATTATATTGGGCCACTGTGGGAAGGTGAGAAGTTAGCTTCCTTCTCGCCTTCTTACCCACAGCAGTGTGCCCTGGACAGGGCTGTGTTTCCTTTAGGGTTGTGGGCCATGGGGGGGGGGGTCACAGGGACCTGTGAGATGTCCCCTGACACAAGGGCCCAAAACTCCCTGATCATCCAGAATAATGTGCTATTCTCCATATCCAGCATCTAGAACACCTGTAACTCCCAGAGCGCATCACACTCTGGCAATAGATCCAGCTGTTATAAAAATGGGGCCTAATTGGCCCATTTCTATAGCGTTCAGGTGCAGGAGAGGGCCATGACATCGAAAGAGTGTTACAGTTAATGTAACAGAAGTTATAACAGTGGTGTTTACAATAACATGGACAGGAGTGTTTTTGGGTAGTAATAGTAATTGATGGTTGAGTTGTTACTATATACATGTCACGTGATATTGTGCTGCATAAGCCCATAAGAGGCTAAAAATGGGAAAATCCCATTTCCATAACACCAGCACTACACTCACCTTCTCTTCCCCTCCACCAGGCCTCCTCATCTGCTGAGGATTCATTCTGCCAGTCTCTATCTCACACATCAGCAGCCATTTTGCTTAGTCCTAGCCAATTACCATCAGATGTGGCATTGCCACCCATAATTTATCAAAAGTATGCACCATTAAAGAGGCACTTACACAGTGCACTGCCTGTACCACAGATGGAACCGAGCAAAACCCAACTCCAGGCTGAGAATGAGGTGCTGCGAAAAGAGATAAAGGATTTGGATGATGCATTAGTTAAACTTTGCAAGGAGATGCAGGACAGATTTGATGCAGCTAATACACAAATCCTTCTGCTAATCATTCCTTGAGCGATTTCTCAAGCAAAATGCTGAGAAAGAGAAAAACCATGGGAAGGATTGGCACCGGTTGCAGACTGGGAAAGCAGTTGTATTGACAGAGGATGAAATGTCGGATTTGATTGATAGGGCAGAGGCACTTCAATGCACAAAGGCTGATGAGGCCGCTGCCAGGAAAACCCAAAGGGAGATGCAGAAAAAAGTTGCCAATGAGCTTGCAGTGCTCAAGCAATTGAGGGCAGAGGCATGGGAAGCTGCTAAGCTAGACAATGAGATGGTGTTGCAGAATTGGGAATCGCTGAAGGAAGTGTGCTGCAGCTGGGGTGAGAAACCTCCACAGAGGCCATGTGTTGCCATGCATGCAGAGGTTTGGGCACTTGTAATGGACCCTGAATTGGAGGAAGAGATTGAAGGGAGTGTTAATGGTGGACTTGGGGGGCCAGGGAGCTCAAGTGAGGATGGACTCACTTCAGAGGATGATGGTGAGTAGTTTGTTGTATTGGATGGGAATGCACTTTTCAATATAAAATGCACCATGGTAAAGATTCACACTTTACTCCTTCATTTTTAATTGCTTGATCTCCAACTTTTGATATTATTTAGAAAACTATCTAGTGTACATTATCCCCAATAATTGTGCCCATTGGTGTTGTCATCAATGTGTGAGCACCGTGGGAACACAAGGCAAAATTGCGTGTGCATTGACTGGGTTAGGACTGTACTATTGTGGCTTGTTTCCTTGATCTTTTTTTGGATCTGTTGGAGAACTGTGTGCTATGGGAGTGGAGCGAGCATTCTGTACAGCCACATTCCCACAGCTGCTTGTGATTCGGATTCTCCCAGATCCTACAGTCTGACCTACTCAGTTGGACCATGTGACTACTCAGTCACAAGACTTCCTTTTTCTACTATTTTGGACTTACCCGTACTGGGCCACTGATACATTCATTCATTGAATTATTTCCTTTTTCCTCAGTTCTCACACATATAGCTTGAGACTGAGGTCAGTGATACTTCCTTTATTCTTTCATCCCTTTTACTCTGTAACTTACATGATATGTATATTGCCTTTAGCTAGCGCTTATAGATCAATTACTGCACATTTTCTCAGGATCGAGTTTATCACATTTATTATGTGCGATTCCTGGTTTTCCAGGAGGAAGTTAGGCTGGGCAAGTAGTGACTCTCCCCAGTTTATGTTGCCACTTCTGGGGGTTCCAGAAGGAGTTCTTGGAGTGTAAACTCCATGCTCACTTTGTTTAGGTGAGGAAGTCATGGAGGGTGCTTCCTTTTCATGGAAGAGTCTGCTCGCTGATTTTTCATGAGGCTTCCTCAGTGAACTCTCTCATTTCAGTTCGCCTTCTCTTCATAATCTTGGAGACCTCCTCCAAGGTTGGCAACCTTGTCTTGTCTGGCATGGCATGGGGTTGTGCAGGTAGCAGAAGTTCTATTTGAGCTTCTGCACTCTGAGGGATCCTGCTCTCAGAGCATTCCTTTGCACTCTCTTGGGCCTTCAGCCTGAGAAAGAGTTCTTCTTCAACTCCCATCCTCCATTCCAATGGGACCTGGAACAAGTCCAGTAGTTTTTTGGACAGCTGACACAGAGGTTCTTCCCTCTGTTTCCCTTTGTCTACCTTTAGGGCTTGATGTAGGGAGATGTGGGAAGGCACCAGGGGATAGTGGGGCCCTGGAGTTTCCTGTGTCTTAGTCCAATCAGCTTTTTGGGCTGATTTCTTGGTGCTTACACATTCATCACATTGTAAGGGGGCAAGGGATCTACCACCCTAACAAGAAAGAGAGGGGGTCGCAGAGTTGGGAATGCTCAGGGGAGGTTCAGATGAAGAGGAAAGGGGGGAGTGTCAGAGTCGGGAATACTGTCAGAAGACGGACTGAAGATGGATTGGGTTTCTGTCTGAGTTGGGGTTGGAGGTGTGGGCAGAAGTCTGTTGGAACATGCATGTGTGGATATGCGGGCGGAAATATGCAGCGCATCCAGAAGCACTGTTCAAGGTTAGCAGAGTGGGATTGTGGCCTCAGCGACTCAGGTGGAGCACTGTGCCCTGAGCTTGATGTTTTGGGGAGATCCCATATTTACAGACCGACACTTACAGCGGACTTCAAACAAGACTTGCAGGCAGAGCGGACCTGTAGGAGGAGTGTGGACCCTGCAAGCATGGACTCAGAAGGGGGGAAGCCCTTTGCAGAAGGAGGGACTCAGACCAGACAGGGGGGGGGTACTCTAGTTGATTTCAGACTGAGGTCCCCGAAAGTATTTACAGGATATAAATAGCAGGAGGAAAACACAGAAGGGCCAGTCAGTCCGGCATGGAAATAAGCAGGGATTGTCAAACTGAATGAAGGACAAGAGCCCAGGAAATGGGAGGCAATGAAACAAAAGCAAGAGTGGATCAAGTGCCAATATTGACAGGTAATAAGAATAAGAAGTGCATCAGCACATGGTTCAAGTGCCAATGTTGGCAAGTTAAGTGAATGAATGGTATGCTGCTGAGTGACAAAAATGGCCAGAGGACAAAAGTGGAGGTCAGCATGCGGCACCGATACAGGTCCGCAAATAAGCAGGGTGGGTGCAGTGCCGACACAAGCCCACAAACAGAGGTTGATCTGTCAGTACTGTCACACAAGGACAGCATGAAGGCCAACAGAGGTACAGAGGGGAGTGGGAGTGTTGACCTGACCAGAGGTGTCAAGGGCAACCAGAAGTGGCCAGAGGGTGCAGAATGTGTGGAAGCGGGGCATGGCTGTGACCACATTGTGGGAAGCAATGAGTGTGGTTCAGATGGAGACAAGGCAGGCATAGGAACTGGAGGGACTGAATGCTGGGAGTGCCAAGGGCTTGGGAACTGGAGGTAAGGTCGGAATACCGGCAGGGTCTAGGTTCTGATTGTTGGCCAAGTTTCACGCAATAAGGCAGGGGACCAGACATTGGGTTGGGGGCTGGTTAGGATGGGTTTTGGCTCAGTGGATTTGCCTATCGGCATTGGTTCGCTGCTGACAGAGCCCTGGGATTTGTCAGTTGTGACAGGGAGAAATGGTCCAGGTGCGATGTGATAAAAAGGAAAAAAACTCGTAAATCTCACTAGAAATCAAACTAATGGGAACTCTGTCCCTGTACTATGTCTTGAGCCTCTTTGGCTTCATATTTGCTGCTCTGGGCGCTGGTAATATCAAAGTAATATTAATGTTGTTAAGGAAATAAAGAACCATGGCGATCGGAACAACCGCTGAACCAAATGCGTCACTCGTGACATCGTTCGACTTTTGTTGACAAGGGCTTTCCAACGATACCAAATTCGTCCGGATCGGTCAAGAACTGATGGAGATACAGAGGAAGCGGCAGAATATGCGGGTGACAGTTGCCCAATTTGGAAACTGATGGTTGTCTGTGGTCAGGAATGGCTTGAAAAAATCGAAAAAAATATGGGAAACGTGGAAGGGGTATTTGGAACAGTGGTAGATGTGTTTCGAAAGTGGGGTGCGTGACATGGGTGGTAGAATCACAATAATCAGCTCATTTGTGTGGTACTGGCTGTGCCCCACCTACAGTGTAAGTCGTCAATCACCTCTTCTGGAGGTGATGAATCTTCCCCAATGTGGGTAAGATTTGTGTAACATGGAGTTCTAGGGGTATTGGGTGTTGGAGATCAACCTCAAAACATGTATTTACATATATTTGTGCTGACAATTCTATCAAGTGGTCTACTCTCATCTGGTCCGACCCCGGCCCTATTGTGGCCTCATCCTATGGTTTTCTATATTGGGCCCTGCACTTACTCCACATAAGTTTTTTGAACCCTCAGGGACCAGCCCTGAAGTGGTTGCTTTTTGAGGATCACATTGATCCTTGTTGTTGTCTGACGATGACTTTTGTTGTGAATCTCCCATTGTGGTTTCTTTATGAACCACTCGTTCTTTTTTATTGTCACTGCAGAGGCGACCTTGCCCTTGCAGGCATGTTTTGGTGCCATGGGCGCTACCAAGTCAGATTGTTTTAGATGTAGAGAGTTGGTGGTTTGTGTTTATTTTTAAACACGCCTCATACACTTAAAAAAGTGTGAGGTCTCAGGGGGTTGCTCAGCACACCAGACCATAAGTGTTACAATGGTATTAAGCGGTAACCAGAAGTTGCCGCTTAGCCATGTGACTCTATTTACACTGTTGTTACATCAGACTCAGGGTTTGGGGCTATTGCCCTGACAGACATTCAAATGGAAGGCAACTTGAGGCATTACAGGTGACCCTGGAAAGTAGCCAAACTGGATGATGCTAAGTGGGAGAGTATTAGACAGACATTCACAATATTCAAATGTCCACCACATGGCACCTGGCCTGGGGTCATTGGGTCATTGTTTATTAAGCAAGATCAGAATGGAAACGTACCGGAGAATGTGATCATCATGAGCAAATGAAACTGGGGAGACGCATTGCAGTGAGAGCACAGCGATACTGCCAGTGTTTGTGTCACAACCATGCATTCTGACCCAGATGCTGGCCCTTGTCTATCTCCTTTCACCTGACCCATTCAGTCTCTTTACTATATATATACCTGTATATACATCATGTCTGAATATTGACTAGGTTTTGTCCCCCCTAACAAGGCAGCCTCAAGTCACCTTGAAATGTGGGCACTGAGACAGTAGGTGGGCACAGTGCTCCTTCAGAGTCACTGAGGCCAAAGCCCAACCCCCTGGGGCCTTGTTCCTTGAGCTGCCATGTTACGGATACGGAGTCTCCAACGACCATATCCGTTGCATGGTCAAAGACTTCCCTTCTCTATCGCTCCTCCCCTCTTTCTCCCTTCCGTCCTCTATCCTGATACCCTATCCTCCTTACCCGTTCTACCCCTTTCCCCCCCCTCGTGCAAAGCTTTCCCCATTGGGGTTTTGGTGCTGGCCGAGGTTGTTTGTGTTTCACGGGATTTCCCGCGACCTTACCATTTGTAGATAGTCACGTGTCTTGTACGGAAACCGCTGAAGGCAGTTCCCGCTAACTAACAACTGCTCTACAACTGTCTCGTGTACCATCTTCTGTAACAACCCTCCCTGTGACTCAACTGAACCCGTGTGACTGTACAACTCTCAATATGTCTTATAAGTCTGGTTATATCGAGTCCTCTAACGGCCCTCGCCACGAGAACTCGAGGTCGAGAGTCGAAGACTCTCGACATGTGTATCGTCCTACTGAATCTGTACCCTATGGGTCTTCATCACTCCGCTCTCCCCCCAGTACTCAACATACGACGTCACCTCACGATCTTGGAGATCGCGAATACTTTGAGGCCCATCTTCCTGTGATGCCGGCACGTTCGCTACGCGAATGCCAAGTTGCCGCCCATCCACCGTCTGTTCCCTCCTTCACCAGTCATCATGTTTCCCCGCCAACGGTACGTTCCCTTTGGGAACGCCAAGTCACCGAAGGCCCTACTAGTCAGTCCTCATTGCACGCTTATGACATCAACCCGCTACCGGTACG